CAATTGAGTATTCTGGGGACCACGTCGCAGACTCGGACTGCAATTTTGGAATCAATAGAAGAATAACACTCATAAAACCACACCTGCATAGTTAGGGGCATCCCAGCTATCCTGTAATACTTCTTCAAAGCATCCATCTTCTTGCTAATCGAGTTTATCAACAGCTCAAATGCTTTAATACCCCAATGATATTCAGAATAGCGCCCACTCTCTACTAAGTCAAAATCTAGCCTCGGTATAGTTGCACTATTCTTCTCGGATGAAAATATAAACGTGTGGATGAAATACAACAAAGATATCTTCAAAGCATCCTCATCATTGTCGGGGCCCCATGCCTTGTCATTGAAGCATTGTCTCAAGTGTTTCTTCTTTACANAAGTGTATTGAAGAAGAGAGAAAAAAGCTGATGAGAGGAGATATACGCTAATTAGGTGAGAGAAAATAAAAAAAAATGAGATAGAAAAATATTTTGTAGCATATATTAAGCCTTAATTTTAGGATGGAACTAAATTTAAATTTTTTGCTATAAGCTAAAAAAGGTATTTATAGAATGTAATATTTTAAAAGGGTATTTATAGAATATAAATAGGGTACTAACCTATTCTATAGGTGGTAAAATTTCCATTTTAAAACACATACGCGCGCTGTTTGAGCAAAAGCTATTAAATTTGGCCAAACTAATTATGGGCTTCTATATTCGCCCTGTTGGTAGCATATAGGAAATTGTTGGAAGTGTGTCAGGCTAATAGAAGGAAAAAATATCTAAGAAGAGAAAAATAATAAATTGCACAAGACAAGATAAGATTTACGTGGTTCGGTAATTTTTGCCTACTCCAACCCTCATAAAGAATAACTCTTTATTGATATTGAGAGAGAAAGAAGAATGTTGTGAGGATGATTTACAATGGCTTTTTAATATATTTTGATCTAATTAGCTTCATATTGATCTTTTAGACTTATTTTGGGAACAAAACTAAAATTAGAATATAATCCTCTAATTGCAATACCGTGGAATAAAATGATTTGATTTGTTTACACATATCTATATTATCTTGCTCATAGAAAAATGTTGACAATTCCTGCAACCGAAAAATATTTTTTAAGAATGAAATTAATAAGATCTTACCTGAAATCAACAATATCTTAAGGATGTTGGAATAGATTGGTCATACTGTCAATAAGGAAAAAAATTATGGAAGTTGATTTTTTTTTAAAAGTAACATCTTTAAATCTAAAAGGTTAGAAGAATAAAATTCAAATAACAGTGTGTGTATAATTATATTCTATTTAATAATTTTAAGGCCTCTAATAAGAGATGTAGCTTTAGGCGAGGGGGGTGGCGGTTGTCAGTCACGAATTGTGACGATTCGATAGGTCATTTTGTGTATTAGCCTTTATTTTTGAGTTTCGAGACCTCCATTAGTTTTATTTGATATTTTTTTATTTGCGTGCATGGTCCATTTCTTTTTCCGAAAAGTTTTTACATAAAATTTTGAAGAAAAAATAAATTTTGATTTAAAATGGAACTTGAGTTGACCACAGTCAATATTCTTAGTAAATGACATCGAATCGATATTTTGACAATTTCGATATGTTTGTATGAAGTTTTTGGACTTATATGCTCTTTTGGTTGGGGTCCGGAGCGACCCGAGCATATTTCGGCGCGTTATATGGAAAAAGTTGAAAATCACTTAATTTTTATGACTCAAAAAATTCATCAAATCGCTCTCCAATTCGCTAATATTGTTATTAATCTTTAATATATATATATACACACACACACACTCCCCTGTTCCAGTTTATGTGAACCTATTTCCTTTTTGTCTATTCCAAAAAGAATGACTCTTTTCCAAATTTGGAAACAATTTAACTTAAACTTCCAATTATATCCTTAATGAGAAGCTTTTATAATCACACAAATACTCTAAACCCCTTTTTGACTTGTTTATGCCCACAAATTCCAAAAGTCTTCACTTTTTTCTTAAACTTTGTGCCTAGTCAAACATGTTCATATAAATTGGAACGGATGGAGTATATTTTTTAATCTTTCTTGAACCAAGGATCTATCTGAAATAGCTTCTCTACGTTCCCAAGATAGGGGTAAGGTCTGCGTACACATTACCCTCCCTAGATCTCATTTGTGAAATTCCACTGGGTTGTTGTTTCTATTATATATTTTCTTTTGTAAAAGGTTTTCTTCTCACCAACTAAAATACATTTTCCCGAAAAATATTTTTCATATAAAACATTGGTATTTTCTTGGAAAATGACTTTCTTCGTACCAAACACACGAGATGAATTTACTAAGCTGCAGGATAATGCTGATCAGAATGCTCCTGCTAAAGAGCCAATACTGAAAGAAGAACCAAAGAACACTATTCCAAAAACCAGTGAACAAACAGAAGCTATAAGCCTTCCAAAAAGCAATTCAGAAGATGGAAATACAACAAGTTCATGCAATAAATCAGATGATCAATCGATAAACGATAAGGAATTCCCAGCCGGAGACGCTCCACTGCCTAATAATCCAGCCAGTGAACCACACGAGGATCAAAATACCACTTCAATTGATGAGCCAAAGATCAATAATTCAAGAACCATTGAACAAACAAGAGTTGAACCAGATAACGACGACAACAACAACAACAGCAACAACAATAACAATAATAATAGTGCCTCAGTTCCAAACAAGTTGGGGTCGGCTAGTGATTTGTTCGCAAAGCTGAAGATGCGAAAGGAAGTGATAAATATAACCCTAGTTGCTCTGTTGATTCTTGGTGTCGGTCGCTATGTCATCAATGTGATGAAGTCTCCCAAGAAAGCTAAAGAATGAGACTAGCTTGTTTTCCTGGAAATCAAATTTCAAAGTTGGGATATTATTAGAAAAACTGTTATTTGGATACCTGCAATCATGAAATATATTACTAATAGAATACAGTGGATGATTGTTCTTAATGAAATTAATTACCTCTTCTGCGGCCACTGTGATTTCCAGGCTGGTGAATCCACAGTGTTGGGCGAAGCTCATGGTGTGACACAGAGCTAGTATTTCCATCAAGGTATTGGTGAGCCCGGACGTGTAGCCAAAATTTCAACTTAATGAGTTCGGATTTTAGAACGACTCTTTCACATGCTAATAATTGGGGTCTAAATTTTTTCTTTCTACATGTGTAATGAATTTAAAAACACATACGCGCGTTGTTTGAGCAAAAGCTATTAAATTTGGCCAAACTGATTATGGGCTTCTATCTTCGTCCTGTTGGTAGCATATAGGAAATTGTTGGAAGTGTGTCAGGCTAATAGAAGGAAAAAATATCTAAGAAGAGAAAATAATAAATTGCACAAGACAAGACAAAATTTATGTGGTTCGGTAATTTTTGCCTACTCCAAGCCACACAAAGAATAACTCTTTATTGATATTGAGAGAGAAAGAAGAATGTTGTGAGGATGATTTACAATGGCTTTTTAATATATTTTGATCTAATTAGCTTCATATTGATCTTTTAGACTTATTTTGGGAACAAAACTAAAATTAGAATATAATCCTCTAATTGCAATACCATGGAATAAAATGATTTGATTTGTTTACACATGTTTATATTATCTTGCTCATAGAAAAATGTTGACAATTCCTGCAACAGAAAAATATTTTTTAAGAATGAAATTAATAAGATCTTACCTGAAATCAACAATATCTTAAGGATGTTGGAATAGATTGGTCATACTGTCAATAAGGAAAAAAATTATGGAAGTTGATTTTAAAAAAAAAAAAAGGTAACATCTTTAAATCTAAAAGGTTAGAAGAATAAAATTCAAATAACAGTGTGTGTATAATTATATTCTATTTAATAATTTTAAGGCCTCTAATAAGAGATATAGCTTTAGGCGAGGGAGGTGGCGGTTGTCAGTCACGAATTGACGATTCGATAGCTCATTTTGTGTCTTAGCCTTTATTTTTGAATTTCGAGACCTCCATTAGTTTTATTTGATATTTTTTTATTTGCGTGCATGGTCCATGTCTTTTTCCGAAAAGTTTTTACATAAAATTTTGAAAAAATAAATAAATTTTGATTTAAAATGGAACTTGAGTTGACCACAGTCAATATTCTTAGTAAATGACATCGAATCGGTATTTTGACAATTTCGATATGTTTGTATGATGTTTTTGGACTTATATGCTCTTTTGGTTGGGGTCCGGAGCGACCCGAGCATATTTCGGCGCGTTATATGGAAAATTATGAAAATGAGTTTTCAAGTTGAAAATCATGAGTTTTGATGATCGGTTCTTGTTATTTGATGTTATTTTAATGATTTGAGGTAGCAAACAAGTTTATATGATATTATTACACTGGTGTATTTTTTGTTTGGAGCTCGAGGGGCTCGAGTGAGTTCGGGTGTGTATCCAAACCAAACATGCACACAAGTCCAAAAGTATCATACAAACTTGCTCGCGCGATCAAATCACCAAAATAACACCTAGAACTATAAATCAGACACCAAATCAAATGAAATTTTCAAGAAAACTTATGAACTTCTATTTTAACAATCGGACATCTAAATCACATCAAACCAACTCTGTTTCTCACCAAATTTGACAGACGAGTCATAAATATAGTAATGGACCTATACCAGGTTCCGGAACCAAAATACGGATCTGATATCAATAAAGTAAAATATTGGTCAATTCTTTAAAATCATTTAACCTTTAAACTTTTAATTTTTGACAAAAAACGATAACTCGAGCTAGGGATCTCTGAATTCGATTCTGAACATACGCCCAAGTCCCAAATCACGATACGGACCCACTGGAATCGTCAAAATACGGATTCGGGTCTGTTTGCTCAAAATGTTGACCGAAGTCAACTCAAATAGATTTTAAAGGCAAATTTCTTACTTTATCAATTTTTAACATAAAAGCCTTCCGGAAAAAACACAATGACTACATACGCAAATCGAGGAATGCTTAAAGGAGCTAAAGGAGGCTTTGAAACACATAATTAAGGTTTAAAACTCTAGATGACCTATCGGGTCATCACATTCTCCACCTCTAAAACAACCGTTCATCCTCGAACGGACATAGAAAAGTACCTGGACTGGCAAAAAGGTGTGAATATCTACTCTGCATATCTGGCTCGGACTCCCAAGTAGCTACATCGACCGGATGACCTCTCCACTGCACTCGAACTGAAAGATAACTCTTAGACCTCAACTGTCGAACCTGCTGACCTAGAATAGCTACCGGCTCCTTTTCGTAAGTCAAATCCTTATCCAATCGGACTAAGCTGAAATCTAACATATGGGACGGATCACAGTGATACTTCTGGAGCATGGACACATGGAACACCGGATGGACTTCGATAAACTAAGTGGCAATACGAGACTATAAGCCATCTCACCCACTCTCTCTAGAATCTCAAAGGTTCTGATGTACCTAGGGCTCAAGTTGCCCTTCTTTCCGAACCTCATTACACCCTTCATGGGTGAAACCGAATCAATACTCTCTCTCTGACCATGAATGCAACATTACGAACTCGACGATCGACATAACTCTTCTGCCTGGACTAAGCTGTGTGAAGTCGACCCTGAATAATCTTAACCTTATCCAAGGCATCCTGTACCAAATCTGTATCCAACAACTGAGCCTCTCCGGGATCGAACCATCCAACTGGCTATTGGAACAACCTCTCGTATAATGCCTCATAGGGAGCCATATGAATGCTCGACTGGTAGCTGTTATTATAGGCAAACTCCGAAGTGGCAAGAATTGATCCCACGAACCTCTGAAGTCTATAACACAAGCACGGAGCATATCCTCCAATACCTAAATAGTGCGCTCGGACTCTCCATTCATCTGAGGATGAAATGTTGCGCTCAACTCAACCTGTGTGCCCAACTCACGTTGTACTGCTCTCCAAAAGTTCGAGGTGAATTGTGTACCTCGACCATAAATGATAGACACGGGCATACCATGAAGACGGACGATTCACGGATGTAGATCTCAGCTAACCGTTCTGAAGAATATGTAACTGCCACAGGAATGAAATACGATGACTTGGTCAGACTGTCCACAATAACCCATACTGCATCGAACTTCCTCTGAGTCCATGGGAGTCCAATAACAAAATCCATAGTGATACGCTCCCACTTCCACTCAAGAATCTCTAACTTCTGAAGCAAACCACCAGGTCTCTGATGCTCACACTTTACTTGATGACAATTTAGACACTGAGCTACATATGCCATTATATCCTTCTTAATCCTCTTCCACCAATAATATTGCCGCAAGTCTTGATACATCTTGGCGGTACCCAGATGAATAAAATACCTAGAACTGTGGGCCTCCTTAAGAATCAACTCACGGAGTCCATCTACATTGGGCACACAAATACGACCCTGCATCCTCAAAACTCCATCATCTCCAACAATAAACTAATTGGTACCACTGTGCCGCACTATGTCTCTAAGGACAAGCAAACAAGGGTCATCATACTGTCGCTCCCTGATACACTCAAACAAAGAAGATCGAGCACTTGTACAAGCTAGAAAACGACTGGGCTCTGAAACATCCAACCTCACGAACTGATTGAACAAAGCATGAACATCCGATGCAAGCGGTCTCTCACTGACTGGAATGTACGTAAGGCTTCCCATACTCGCTACCTTTCTACTCAAGGCGTCGGCCACCACATTAGCCTTCCCGAGATGATATAAGTTGGTGATATCACAGTCATTCAATAGCTACAACCACCTCTTCTGCCTCAAATTAAGATCATTTTGTTTGAACAAATACTGAAGGCTCCGATGATATGTGAAAACCTCGCATGACATGCCATAAAGATAATGCCTCCAAATCTTCAGCGCATGAACAATGGTTGCCAGCTCCAAGTCACGGACAAGGTAATTCTTCTCATGAACCTTCAACTGCCGCGATGCATATGCAATCACTCTGCCATACTGCATCAATACTGCACCGAGCCCAATACGCGATGCATCACAATATACCGTATAAGATCCTAAAACTGTGGGTTACACCAACACTGGTATTGTAGTCAAAGTTGTCTTGAGCTTCCGAAAGCTCGCCTCAATTTGTCTGACCATCTGAACGGGGCACCCTTTTGGGTCAACCTGGTTAATAGGGCTGCTATGAATGAGAATCCCTCCACAAATCGACGGTTATAACCCGCCAAACCCAAGAAACTCTGAATCTTCGTGGTTGAAGTGGGTCTAGGCCAGTTTGAACTGCCTCAATCTTCTTAGGATCAACCTGAATGCCCTCACCTATACGACGTGCCCCAAGAAAGCGACTGAATCCAACCAAAACTGGCACTTTGAAAACTTGGCATATAATTAGCCGTCTCTTAGAGTCTGAAGTACAATCCGAAGATGTTGCTCGTGCTCCACTTGATTGCAGGAATAGATCAAGATATCATCAATAAACAAAATCACAAAGGAATCCAAATAGGCTTGGACACTGGTTCATCAAATCCATAAAATTTCATCGGGGCATTCGTCTGCTCAAATGACATCAATAGAAACTCATAATGCCCATATCGGGTCAGAAAAGCTGTTTTAGGGACATCAGATGCCCTAATCTTCAACTAATGTTAGCCATACCTCAAATCAATCTTCGAAAACATCTTGGCACCCTGAAGCTGATCAAATAAGTCATCAATCATCGGCAAGGGATACTTGTTCTTAATAGTGACTTTGTTGAACTGTCGGTAATCTATACACATCCTCATCGATCTATCTTTCTTCTTCACGAACAATACAGGCGCACCCTAGGGCGAGACACTAGGTCTAATGAAGCCCATATCAAGCAAATCTTGCAAT